ACTGAGTATGCTACCTCAGGCAAGCTCTGTAAAAGTTTTTGAGCAACAGTGAGTTCAGGGTTATGGTTGCTAAGAGGAGAGATTCTGTCAGCCAGGTCACTGTGAAGCAAGTGTGGGATGGATTTCCTTTTTTGAAAGCTATGCTTTATAAGGACTTCCACTGAGAAGTTCATTTGGCAGGGCCAAAATCTTCTTCAGAAAGAAATTAGGCATTCATTCTAACATACAGACAAAACGGGCAATAAATTATAATACAAATTATAATTTTTCTAAAGTCAAATAAGTCAAATATAAAGATATCATAAAGGAATGTTACGTTTTAAAATGAAAGAGCAAAATTTAAAGACATAAACATTGGCTAACTTTGCCCCTACTCCTTGCTTGTTATTATTTGCAACCTGAACTAACCTTGATTTTATTTCCAGACATGTGTAGACTCTTACCTTCTAATTTACCCTGAATATATGTTGGCTATAGAGCCCTTCTGAAGCCAGCAAAAGCTTCTGGACCTTTGTACCTTGTTTGGTATTAAAAAGTCTTTTGACTTCTTATAGTGGATAGTTTTCCCTCTGCTGTGCATAAGGGAGTATAATTTGCCATCTGAAGCTGTTCGGTCTAATTAAAGGGCTTCCCTCATTAGCCCTTTCAGCCTTCTGGTTGCCTAGGAAGGCATGCTGCTGCTTCTCATTCCTCTGGACTGTACCTCATCACCAAGCAGAGGCACACATCCATATTAACAATATGAAATTTGTATCACTATCATTTTCCAGTGAAAGGAGTCATTTCAAGGAGTTACTTCCTCCCGACTAAAAAAAGAAAACAGAAAAAGGATTTTTCCCTCCAAAAGTAATCTCCAGCCACTAGGTTAAGTAATGCTTTTATTTTAAAAGCAATGGCATTTTCCTCAGCTTCTGAAATTGTCTTCAGCTGTTATAAACTGCTTTGACAAGAAAGTTTCTTAAAACATTTTTTTTAAAAAAAACTTGCATCTCTACTAGACAAGCCATTTTTAAAGATATAATTAAAATAGAAGACATCTGTTTTTAAAAGATAGCTTTAAAGTGCTTTCACCACATTTTCAAAGACAGTTATTAGAGTATTCATCCCCAGCTACAGAATTCAATTTTTTAAAAAGTCGTCTTCTTCAAGTTTCACTGGGGTCCTTCACTGGGGTCCCCTGATGAAGAAAGGTAGATTTAGGTGGACAAAAGGAGAAACGTGTTGAGGTTATATTGAACATGCTCAAAGAGAATTAATACTTTTCCAGGGTCATGAAATATGTTAATATTTCATTCCAGATTAAATTCAGCTCCTACCACCATTTTGGGATACAATTTTAGTGAATAATGTATGAGGGAATTAGGAACTTTTATTTCCCATTTCTATTTTTATTTTATTTTTTAAAAAAGGTCATTTTAGAAGTACCCTGGCAATGTAACTGAAAACCCATGGTGTCTCCTTTTTAAAAATGTATAATTCTGTGCTCTTTACAAATTAAGATATTTTAGTAGAGCAGGAGTTAATTAGAAAGATCTTCTTCTTAAGATTTTCCCCCATGAAATTTCATATGCCATTTATTCAGTCATTTATTCCTTTATCCTTCCATTCACTTACTTAACACATTTATTGAGCATCTACTATGTGCCAGGCAGTGTTTTTAGTGACTGGACAAAAATCAGGAACAGAAGGGACAGGATCTCTTTCTTCCTGGACCTTAAAATCCAGTCAGGGAAATAGATATTTGATAAATTAATAAAAAATAGTTATAATAGAACTGTATAACACAAGAGTGAACCCGAATGTAAACTATGGACTTTACTTAATAATGTATCAAATATTGGTTCATTAATTGTAACAAATTCCTGGTACTGAGGCAAGAAATTAATAATAAAGGAAACTGTGGGTTATGTTGGCACATGGGAATTCTGTGCTATCTGCACAAATTTTTCTAAAAAATAATGTCTCAATAAAAATAAAACATTTTAGGGCTTCCCTGGTGGCGCAGTGGTTAAGAATCTGTCTGCCAATGCAGGGGACACGGGTTCGAGCCCTGGTCTGGGAAGATCCCACATGCCGTGAAGCAACTAAGCCCGCATGCCACAACTACTGAGCCTGTGCTCTAGAGTCCACGAGCCACAACTACTGAAGCCCGCGCGCCCTAGAGCCAGTGCTCCACAACGAGAGAGGCCAGTGCAATGAGAAGCCCGCGCACCACAACAAAGAGTAGGCCCCGCTCCCTGCAACTAGAGAAAGCCCGCTTGCAGCAATGGACCCAACGCAGCCAAAAATAAATATTTTAAAAATAATTTTAAAAATAATAAAAATAAAAAATTTAAATATCTATAAAAGATAATTACTTTCAAGGAAATAAACAGGAAAACACAGTGGGATGACATAATTTGGATTGGGGAGTGAGGAAGACCTTTCTGGGGAAGTGTTGTTTAAGCCCAGCACTAGAGAATAAGTAGGAGCCAGCCAGGCAAAAAAGAGAAGGAAATGCATTCTCAGTAAAGCAAAGTGATACCATTTGAACTACCTTTGTAAATACCATTCTGGTTTCTTTGTGGAGAAGAAAGATTGAGGGGGTGGGTTTGGGGGGCAAGAGGACAAACAAGGAGACAAGTTAGTAGGCACTTAGAATGGACCACAGCTTTTGCTACCCACTCAGAGTCCTAGAAGAGCAGAGTAACAGTAGGATGTTTTCTTGCTCAGCTTGTGCCAGAAACCGTTAGATTCTCTGTGAACTGGGTGCTAGCAAGAAAGGAGACTGTCAATGGCACCGAGATGGTGTTCCCAGGTCTCAGTTCTTAAGATCTTTCCACTGGCTCAAAGGGATTTTTAGAATGAGGAACAATCTTGTGTGTGTGTGTGTGTGTGTGTGTGTGTGTGTGTGTATTTGAGACCACAACCAGATGAAAATTATAAGGGGAAAAAGCTTTCAAGTACTAACTACCCAGCTGTAACAGCAGATTTTCATAGAAGTCTGTGTAAGGTTTAATTTGCAATAGTTATCTTTCTTCCTGCTGCTGGATTGTTGGAATTTACTTTGGTTTTTGTTTCTTCTAAGACATGTTTTTAAATTGTTGCTAAATCAACAAAGAGGACACTTAAGAGAGGTCCATTTAGGCATGGCACTGTACATCAATATTGAACTGTTTGTATCAGGGAATCTTAGACATGGTGAATTCCCAAGAAAAAAAATTCTAGTGGGTAAAGGGAAATGTCAGTCAGTGATAGATTTCTATTGATTCTGGAACTGTTATTAGTAGCAGGGAAGCTTAAATAGTTCAAAGTTTTATTTCCATTTAAAATTAAGCAGCTCTGCAATTACATAATCCACTTCATCATTTGTAATTTTAACCTGCCTATATTGATGTGCATTTGAGGCTTGCAAGACTATCTATTTTTGTGCATTTCGTTTACAGTAAAAAAATTGTATGCGATGGTTGTACATTATATATAAAAAGATTCGATAACACCTAGAAAAAATCTTTAGCAAACGAGCATGCATTTCATAGCACTTAGCTAATACCGGTTAATATGTTGATTTAACTCTACATAGGGTTTTTTTTTTTTTTTTAATTCCTGTTAACACAAACACCGAGTCAAGAATCTCCCGTTTGAGCAGTCCTGTTGTTTGTTTTAGGAAACAGAAGTGCATCATCAATGTAATTTTAAGTTAGTCCAGTTATGAATCTGGGATGAAGGGATAAAATAAAGTTTTCCACTCTGATGTCTCCATTAAGAAGCTCCCCTTTGTGTAAAATACTCCATGGCAAAGTTGCTTCTATTTAAAGTAGTGAGTTTGATCTTGGCTTTGATCTAAAGCTTTTGATCTTGAAAGAAGGATGGAGTAGCAATAAAGAGAGGGCAAGACAGATTTTCTTTAAAGAAATGCGATAAAGTTAAAGGAATGGTCAACATCAGCAAACGCGAGTGCGACCCGACTCTTCTCCCAAAGCACTCACCCCCCAGGCTGGTTCAGCCCACTTCTGATGAGGATGGAAAGAAAGCCTTTTGGGGGTCGGCGGAAAAGACTGAGGGAATCTCACACTTTTATAAACTGAGTGGAAAGTTTACCCCTATTTATGAAGACGTATTGACCCCTTCTTAAATTCTGCTAGTCGCTTTGGAGGGGTCCACAGGCCGGGCAAGCGCGGCGCCGGCCGGGCTCACCCAGAGCGCGTTAGCTCCCGCGACGCGCGGGCGGAGCCCCGGGTTCGCCTTTCACGCGCTCGCGGCTTCTCCCCCAGGAGGTCACCTGCCACCGCCCCGGAGTCCGGAGGGGCCACTGAAAAAGGTCAACTCAATGGCGTCTAATCCATTCCCAGAGAAAACTCCATTAGGAAAGTTCCTTTCCCTCCGCGAAGGCCATCTGGACACTTAGGTTTCTGACCCGAAGGGCGAGTTCAGGCTGGCCGCGGGGTTGAGGGAGCTTTTGCCGCTAAGCCTTTTCGCCTGCCGGCGGGCAGCAATTCTGCTCCCACCGCGGTCAAGAAGCCCTTTCGCGGTACCCGGGGTCCCGCAGGCTTGTGGGCTGGAAAGGTAAGTGCGCGCGCCGGGGATCGGCCCGCGCGTGGGAGGGCGCGGGCAGGACGCAGGGAGGAGAAGAAAGATGTTTGCGAAGAGAACAATAACACAGGCGGAGCGCCGGCGGGGGTGGGGGCGGAGGCGACCTGCGGGGAGGGCGGCGCGGCCGCCTATACCTTTAAGGCAGGCCCCGCCCCCGCCCAGCGCCCGCCCGCCGCCCGCGCCGCCGCCCGGGCCCCGCGCTCGCCCGCCGCCCGCGCTGTGCCTTAGGTGTTGCGGGCCTCGAGCGTTCCCCGCTCTCCGGCGGGCCGGCGGGGCGGACGGCCCTGGGCGCGGGTTCTGGCGCCAGGCTCCCACCTTCACCTACCGCGGGCGAGGTACGGGGTTGGCGCGCCGAGTTGGTGGGGCGCGGGGGAGGGAGGCTGGGGCGGCTCTCGGGAAAAACTTGACTCTGTCCCCTTCCCCCGCAGCCGCTGCAGAGGGAGCGCCTGGCCGGGGCGGAGTGCGGGCTCGTGCGGCAAGTGAGCGCCGAGGTGAGTGCGGGCGGCGCGGTCCTTGGGCTCCCTCCCTCCCCGGGCGGTGGGTCGCGCGTTGCATCCCTGGCGCGGAGACCCCGGTCGGCTGCGTCGCGTGGCAGCGGTGGGTAAGATGGCCCTCGTTTAGGGGCTCTGGCTCCCACCGGCGCGGGGGCGGCAAATCGGGCCGATAACGGAGGGAGCGGCCGGGGCGAAGGTCGCGGCCTCGGCTCGCCGCAGACCCGAGGGCCCCCTGCGCTGAGGCGGCCCCGCGACCCCGAAGGGTGCCTGTGGCTCCCCCAGGTGAAGCCGAGGAAGGCTATGTCGCGAGGCTGTCGATCGTTTGTTTCTCACGCTGAGGGGCGGCCCTCAGGACCCGTCGTTCTGTGTTTAAAATGCTCTGTGGTTTTGAACTTCAGGTCGCCAAATGGGTCCGAGTGAACAGGAGACCCCGAAAACGGAAACGAAAGGAGACAGAAGAAGTGTTGGAAAAGGTAGGGGTCCCCGAAAGAGAGCACTGGATGGAGTTCTTGATCAGTCTCCCCGTCTGGCCCTGAATACTTGGTCGCAACGACAGAGTAGCTTTTTTTTAAGTTTGCAGTAAACCTTAGATATACCTGGATAGTGCTATAGAAACGCTGGTTGATAATTCTAGTGACTTATCAACGTACTGTGTTCTCAGGAAGTTAGAATGACCCAGGATAGAGATTTCTTTCATGTTTATTAAATAGAGCGTTAGGACATAAGCGAGTTCCATTATTACATTAGACCAGTAGTATTTATTATGGTATTATATTATTATATAACTATCTCTAAAAAAGGGGGTTGTTCTGAATAAGTCACCCACAGTATCAGATTTCTCTGCTTGGTCGTGACAGAGACAGTAGCACACTCATTCATTTAGACTTTAGAGTACTCTGAAAAATGGAGAGAGAAAATGAAAGAAGTGTATTACTTTTGAAACACTAGGAGAGATTTTATTTACTAATGCAAATGAGAAGTTTGTTTTTCTACACTTAGAATTTCAGTATGCTACTTTGCAGAAGTTTGGACTACCTGTTTTCTCCTGAAATTGGGTTAAGTCAAAACTTGATTTGTCATTGTAATAAGTAATACGAAATAAGGTAAGTAGTCTGTCGTTTCCTGAGTGATTTCATTGAAAACTCTCAAAAGTGAATAACGTTTTTACAAACCTTACAGCAGATATGATTTTTGTTGCTTTAATTATTTTACTGTTTTTTGATTCTTGAAAGCACCAAGGGATTAAAATAGCAGTGTGTTGTTTTTCTGCTGCTAGAATGTATGATGAATCACTTCTGATTCTGAAGCCAAATTCTTGCTGATAGCATTGCTGCCAACTTCTGTGATGTGTTGCCTTAGTATGGGCATTGCAGCGTCCGAGAATGTGCACAGAGCACATCGTAATGAAGGTGATACCAAAGTTTCAGAGTGCATTTAAGGATACCAAGGGCAGCTTCTGAGAGAATTACAAAAAGAACTGGCCTAGGAGTACAGTCATTTGTAAGGAGTCATCCAGTGTGTGAAGAGTGTGACTCTTTAAACCAAGAGTCACATATGTCACTTCAGTTAAACAGGAATAGAAAAAGTTGTCATTTTGAATGGGCTTGAGTTTTCTGACCATACCTTGACATGCTATGGTAGGTCGTGTTTGTTTAACTTTCATGGTCTAGGTGTTTTTAAAAATGTTTGTGAGGTGATGGATAGATGAGATCATAAAATGTTCAAAGAAGGAAAAAGAATTACGGCTTATTTAGTATTTTAAAAAATAGTTTTTAGCTGTTATTTTTTTAAACCCAAAGTAAGATTACCCAAGCACACAATGTATCATGCATAAAAGAAGTGGAAGCCCTTATCTTTGTGGATTACCAGCTACCATCACTACCAAAATCTGAATTTGAAGTAACCGTTATCTGTGACACCCAAGACCTGACCACTGCCTTCTGAGAATGAGAAGGGTAGGGACTGAGGATTTTGCCTTCCAGGAAAACTGGAGTTCTTCATTGAGCCGTTTCTCCTTGAGAGAGGCTGTTGTGTTGGAGCTTATGGGGAGGACGCACTTTTGACTTTTCTTAGAAATTGTAGGCAGCAGTTTTGAGGAGGACGTGAAAATGAAGTGGGTTGAGACCATCATGCTGAGCTTCCTTTCCAGGAATGGAGCTTAAAGCTGACTAGCTTTGAGGGTGGAGGTGGGCAGGGCAAGAAGGTGGGAGATTTCAGAATTGTATCAGACAATATTAATTATCAGCGTCTTCCGTCTCTCCTTCTGGTTCTGCACAGCGGCTGAGCCCTTTGCCCACTGTTTTGCCTCTGCTGCACCTGGGAGAGAGTTTGGAGCTCACTGAGGCAAAGCACATGCAATATTTTCAAGGGCAGGGTTTAGAAAGGGGGAGCGATCAGCTGCCAGGGGCATGAGAACAAGTTCTGAAAGGCACAGAAGCTACCCTGCAGCTGGTAGCCGAGGTGTGTCCTCTGATTGCCCGAGTGTCTATTCCAAAACGCAGATCAAATTCTGTGCTTATGGGTATTCAGATAGGTCATTTGTTAACTTTTTGCTGGGATTTGAACCTGTTATTCGTAGGAATGTAGGTAGTTAACTTACTATTGAGTTTAGTAAGTTTTTTTAAATGTTTGCCATAGCAGAAGTCAATTTTTCTTTTTTCATGCGTTTACTGTTTCTCTGCAACGTTAGAATAAAACTGTGGTGTTTTCTGCTTTTATTCATTTGATGTAACTGTAAAATAAGAATATGAGTTTTAGTCGTTTCTGGTTGGTTGTACATTTAAAATCTAGCCATTGCTTTTATTTGCCTATACTTTGTCTTTGCCCCTTTCTCTCCCTCCTGCTGCCCTTTCCTCCATCCCGTAAGTCTGTATTTGCACCTTCAGGCCTCAGGCAGAATTCATCCCTGATGGGTGAACTTGTGGGATGACTGGTCTGTATTTAAATATGCTAGGGTCATAACATTTTTTCTCTGATTTTTACTGACCTGCTCGAGGAAGGAAAACAGAAAGCAGTGGTGCAAGGCCAGAGTCTGAAGAGGGGCGTTTGGTGAGGAGTTAAACGTTAAAGAATGGAATCTTACAGGAATGATTATTTCCCCCCCTTAAAATCTTGAAGGCGCTAAGTGGTAGGCATAACCTGGTGTAACTTGAAATACTAGTTGAGGTTTTCAGTGAACTCAGAAGGAGAAGCAAAACAAACTTATACTGTGCTCAGCTGTGGGTTAAAATAACGAATAATGAAATAAAGTAAACTGGGTGAATGAGAGGTACCACCGGTAAAGTGATTTAAGATGCTCTCCTGGCCTTTCCTGGCCTACTGCTGTGTTGTGTCATTCCCACCCACCCACCAGATAGCTCTGCTGTCTCTCTGTGCTGTCTTACGGATTTTCATTTCTTGTCTTTTCTGTAGATGCGTCATTCTTTTGTCTGCATTTTCTCCTATTTTCTCTCACACTTATTTCCATTTTACTTTATGTTTTAGCCCTTTTTCCACTGGTGTAACTGAATTCCTTTACATTGTTGGTTTTTTTTCCTTCAATTTTAGTTACAAAACTCACCTCTCTTTTGCTTCTGGTCCTCAGGTATTTTCTTCTTACATTCTGATATTCCTTTTTCACTATTTCGTGTTCCTTTTATTTAGTTTGAATAATTTATGCAACAGAAAGGCAAGGGGAATGTGAACAACTATACAAAGAACAACTAGGATGAATGGATCAGGCTGCTCTGAAAGGGGCGGGTCAAACAATGGCGATTGCCACAGTGAATTGTATAATGTATATTTTAAAAAATAATATTAATAGATTTTACTAAATGACTACTGGTTTTGGAAGAACACACATTTTTTTTCCTGCTTTTATTTTTAACTGGTTCAAAGATAAATACAAATTATCTATCATATTGAAAGATTAAGGACTAATATAATGTTCTTATAAATATACACTTGATAATACAGCATTTTCGATAATTCTTTAATCAGTATTCTAAGGATTATATAATAATTTGTGAAATCATATATTTGAAGAAAATATCTGACTGGCATTATGATTTTTTTAGAGGAAGAAAATTCCAGTTTTCATATTTGAAAGAAGTACCTTTTCTAATTTATGCACATCTGAAAATAGAACAAATTTTAAAAATACTAATTTCTAGTCATCAGTAAGTAATATGATGTCAGAAGTACTCATTGGCATACTTTCAAAACATTGAAAATTCAACAATACTAAGGTTTGCTGTTATTATTAACAAGAGCTCCTTCATGTGTGTCTGTTTACAAGCAAGTGCCTTGCTGAGGGTAAGATTGGCCTCTGTTACGATTAGTCATAAGAAACGCTAGGTGCAAATGGTCTCCAGGAAAAGCACCCTTTAAGGTTACCTTAATTATTCTTTTCTGCCAGAACCTGAAAAATAATACCCGTAAGCATAAAATTGTTTAAAATTTGGTGAAGTTTTCCTTGAAATATTGAGCGAAACGTGAAAATCTAGAAAGATGGTTGTGAAACTGGATTCATAGCATTTAGCGGCCATTTTAGTGGGATCTAAATGGTAAATTCTATTTTCTGAGTCTTTGAGAGAAAATACTGGAACTATTTTCTTTGTGACAGTATCCTTCCTAAATTCTGGACCATTTTCACTCAGCTTTTTCATTTGTTCTTTCCACACGCTTGATTCTGAACTGAAATCATTGATAACCTTGATAATAATTCACAGAAGATTTTTTAAATCCAACTTGGCTTATGCATTTTGCCACATTTATTGCTCCTTTTAAAATTTTACACATTCTAGGAGAATGTTTTTATTACAATTCTGATATTGAAATATTCAAAATGATAAAGGTAGGTACAAATTTTAAACTGTTTAATAAAGTGCTTTACTGCTATTTGTCTTTTGTGACAAAGATCTGTTTTCTGTTTGGTTTATGATTTCTGGAAAACAGTGTTTAAGACTAATAAAAATTTTCTGTTTTTTTTCTTGGATCTCTAACAGCAGTCGGCAACGGTGTTAGGCTTGACTCTGCAGCTCTTAGGATTCAAAGCTTGGCAAAACGGCACAAGATGAATTTAGGGAGTGCTGAACCAAAGGGTCCCTCCTCTTTATAGGCACTACCTGCATTTAGCAAAATGGTAGGTGTGGGCAGCCACTCTTCTGTAACTGAGGCAGCATTCGTGTTGAGTGGTTTCCCAGGCACTGGTGCCCTTTCCTCTTTTCGAAAATGCTCTTGCCATGTGAGAATTCATAACTAGTCTACATTTATATAGCTGTAACCTCTTACAATAGCTTCATTGATACTTGATCTCGTAGAAAAGCTTTATGGATTCTAATGAGTCACAGCTCTTGAGGCACCAGCCGCCCTCTCTTACGCCTTCCCTATCAGTGAGTGGCTTTGTGTCCTCTCTTGTACTGATTGTGCCTTTGGATGACGACTTACTTGAGTGATAGGAGGAGGCAGAATAATTTATTAAAAATAATTACAA